CGGCTCCCCCCCTTTGTACACAGTGTTAAAATGTTAAAGTTTATTCTTGAGCCAATACAAATTCTTTCCTGGGATCACTCAAAATGAATACTTCTAAACATGTAAATATGCATCAGTACACGTTATACATAGGCCTAATAGAACACATAGGGCTAAGCGCGATTTTAAAATAATCTTAAATCCATAAATCTCAGGCCAGGTCTTTTAAGATAGAAATGCGATACTGTGGTTCAATTTCGTTTTTATCCTTTTGCAAGTTTCTTTTAATGTTTGTTTAATAATACTACTACTAATAGTAATAATGATAACAATAACAATGATAATGATGACGAGAGTAATAATTGATAATAATATTAATAGCAATAAAAAGTGAAGAAAATTGTGCTAAATGCGAAAGAAAAAGTTGTGATTTGTTGATCATACTATAGTATATATAGTGAAAGCTTATAAGCTATAATTAGGCCTAAGTTATCCTGGATATTAAGTAGATCCCTGATAAAAGATCATGAGAAATTTGTTGGCGTTTCATTTTTGACTATAATGGTAATGTGATGATGATGAATTTTACTATGTAAAAGTGTCATTTCCGGCCATCTCGAGAGGTACCATTTTCTCGCCCCAGCCATGGTGGGGCTGAGGTGGTTGTGAAATCACGTTTTTGAAGTAGGCCTATGTAAAGTACATACTCAAAGACAATGTTTTTAAGCTTTGTGCCCCTTGACCCCGCCGGGGTCCTACGTAATTTGCATAACGGCTCCCCCCCCCCACCCCACCTTTCAAAATCCTGGCTACGTCCCTGGCAGGGTGTTGTGATATCTGGTCATATGATATCCTCCTTTTAATTCTTGCCTTTATATTTATCTTCTCTTTTTCATTTTTCTATTCCTTTTTTCCTCTCCTTTTCCCTTTCTTTCTCTCTATCTCCCTTTCCCCTCTTTCTTTCCTCTTCTTACCCAGTCCGGTACGACGGCTTTCAGTCCAGTAAAAATCCGTCACTGCCCACCTCCCTGCTACGCCATTGTTTGTACTGTACGTATTTAAACATATAGAGGATATATCCTTCAAGATTTAAGCATGTCTTAATCTGACACAACATAGTACATTCAAGTTGTATAGTTCTCTCGGGTTTTAATAGTGTCTAGGTTGATAGTAGACTTATGTTATTTCAAAAGTGTTAAATTCATAGATTGGGAATTTATTTTTTATAGTATTAACATCGATAGTTTAAAATTTAAGTATGAAATAACATCACATGCTTCAACAATCAAAATGCCGAATTACTTCAGTATTTTTTTCTGCTTGCACATTCACAGAATCTTTTAAACCAGTGTATTTGATAGTTGACAGAATCACATTTTGATATAAAAATGTATAGCTTTGATTATGGTTTGAATATAAACACCTGTATACTTATTACAAGACAGTATTTAGTGTGTTTACCATTATTCAATTTCTTTAATTGTACCCTACTCTTTACTAAATAAATATGATTCTATTTTCTTTCATTGTTTGTACACTTACACCAACGTTCCTTCTTTTTGTCAGTTTCTTTTGGATTTGTTCCTACTCTCTTATTTTTGAAAAAATCTGTTCCCATTGACTCCTTAATCTATTATTTTTTAATAAATGTAATTAATAATTATATCCATAAAATAGTGGTAAGTGTTAACATCATGGTTGGGGCTGAGGTGAGCAATGTTTTGCAACAATCATAGGCCTACGTTACAACTCTTCTGATTTGATCAAGCGTCAAGACTCCCGAATTTTCATACAATCTTCCGGTCTCCCTAATTTTGTCCAATTCTAAATTTTCAGAAAGAACCCCAAAAAATGGCTAGGCCTAATTAGTGGCTCAGTGACCAATTTTCTGTGTCATTTTTTTCCGACTATCAACGATGTGCGTCGGCTACAAGGCTTTTCCCAATCTTATACAAACAATACTCGCGTCGCCCCGCCCGCAACATTCATCATTCTCAAAACATTCTAACTTTAGTAAAATTACATTTTTCTAACCTGGTTGGTCTTAAGAAGTTAAAATGAACAGGCAATATAAAAACAAGCATGGCTTTTTGTTGACATATATAACATTAAACAGACAATGTGATGTGAACATTGATAATAAATTTATATAACAAATAATAATAATAATAATAATAATAATAATATTAATAATGATGATGATGATGATGATGATGATGATGATGATGATGATGATGATGATGATGATGGTGATAATAATAATAATAATAATAAATTAGCACTTATATAGCGCTGGTATCCGTCGTATATCAGGATTTAAGGAAAGGTTTGGTGGGTGGGGTGAGCGGAGTGCTGAAAAGAAGAGTGCGATGGACCACGTTGACTCTACCATTGTTGTATCGCTGGATACCTGGAAATGAAATTAAAATTACCTTTTTAAATTGTTGTATTTGACATTGAGTCAACAAAAATTTGTGAGAGCAGCTGGTGATAGCCACTGTGTGTGCGCTGAACCATGGAGATCTCTAGGTCCCCGGTTCAATTTCCATCGCTGCTCCCCTTGTGTTTCAGCTGGAGGGTTAAATAGCGCAGTCTCTTCGGGAAAAAAAGTGATTGTCTCCCGGTGTACTGCTGAATTCACCACTAGGTGGACCCCGCTGGAAACAAGTCTTTAGACTTAATGGGTTATCCTTGGTGTGATTCAAACCGAAACACTCCTATCCTATCCTTTCCTGTTACTTTTTTATTGTGACATAAATTTGAGCTTGAAATATTGTTAGATTGGTGGGTGTGGTGTCATCATCAAATGACCAGAATTACTGTTGATCATCAATATTATCCTAAAACAATCAAAGAAAACTATAGAAGTCGTGTTTATATTGTGACATCTCAAAAAGATTAATTAATAACTTTGTCACTTGGATATAAGATTAAGCTCCATTATTATTATAATTTTTAAAAGTTTAGTGGAGCTGCCTCTAGGCCTGTTGCCCCACCCCTTGAATCCGCCACTGTATGATGAACGGTACCTAAAGTATCACATACAGTTGTTTTCTAAGACATAAGAGTGTTTTGGTGCTGTCTGAACAGCGGAACTGCAATCATCTTGCTAATCAGTCTTTCTTTTTATTTATTTTTCAACCTCAGAAGAGGGGGTGGGGTTGTGCTGAGGTAGGCCTACCCCGAGCATGATACATGCGTCGCCGGATGAAGCCGGTACCGGTTCCAACGGCACTGTTTTCAATATTACGTTACAAACATTCCTACGAATTCCAATTTCATTTGACTGTGTGGCATTGATACTTGAGATTTAGAACAACGTTTATATTCATTCTTTTGATGTAAATCAACGGTTGAATGCCTCTCTACTATTCTATTGATAAAGATAACAAAAGAGATCCGTCAAAACCTAAAATTTAAGCACAAATTTATTCCGCTTCGAAGTATAACGTTAGGTTAGTGTATCTATGGCATAGACATACTGCAGTAGCCTTCTAAAGTATCGTTATGAGTTTCTTATCATCGGTGGAACAACCCGGCCAGTCACCCCGGGTTCAACTGCAGCTTTTCTGTTGTTTGATTTTCTTCAACGTTCTGTATTTTGTGAGTATTTTCCAGTTTTGGTTTTTTTTTAATTTCAGAGTTACAGGATTCCTCCCATCATAAATAATTCAACTTTTTCCCCGTTTTTATTGAACATTGACGATAATAAAATTAAGGTGCTGTATCCTGTGTAAAGCTACCACGATTAAATAGCCTACATGAATGTTTACATTCTGCATGGATCCCGAATATTTTTGAAAGAAAAGGAGAACAAATCGTTATACTGTACTACTACTATTACCTCTACTACAACCACCATGCACAAAAGAAAATATTATTTTGATACAATCTGCTTCCGGCCAAATAAGCTTTATTGAGTTCTGAATGACCTTCGATAGCATATCCTCTATAATACATGTAGCGTATGATGTTTTTGTAATTTTGACAGTAGATATAGGCCTATTTTGAAATAAGTTTTGCAGTATGATCGCATATAAATGTTCTGCTTACCGTGAAAGTATTATAATAGATCTAGCCAAGGGTTGTTAATAACTCCTTGATTTAGCTGAACATAGTATAATATCCTTGACTTCCTTGTGAATAATTTACCAGATTATAGCTAATGATAGGAAATATAGGCCTAATCACCAATATGAAGGAACAAATTTCGGTATTGTAATGTAGTTTAGTTTAGATCTATCAGTCATTCATTATAGCTAAATTTAATTACAGTATTTTTAAAAACGATGTGAACACAGCCTGTTTTAGAATACAATAGGCAGTACTATTATAGAGAGCAGCAGCTCAGGCGGTTAAACTGGTGGTAGGCACTGTCCCCTGTACGATTCCCATCAATGCTCTCCATTTGGTTCAGCTGGAGGGCTAAAATACAAGTATCAAAAGTGCGCCGATTTTTGGATAAAACTTGTGCAAAATGGCTCATGTGCACGTTAAAAAACGAGGTACAACCTTCGGAGAAGATTAGAGAATTTCTCCCGATACACTGCCCACGACCCACGGACCCAAGGGAAATAAGTGATTCTTAGTGTGTATTACACTAAAGAAATCCAACCCAACCAGTAGTACAAATAGCTCCACATAGTCTTATCTTTAAAAAGGGAACTGATCTAATCATTGTTTTGTGGCAACGCACACCCATGGAAGCCCGGCCCAGGGGAAAACGTAAAATGAAGGTTTCCTCAACAGAAACATAGCATTCCCCGATAAGCGTCTGCTCCATCGCTTTCGAGGAACACAGTAGAATCGGTGGCGCAACCATCCCAAGTACAATTAGATTGGAATGTAGCTTCTCCAGTCAACCCCCACCCTATTCCACCCCTTTCCTACGCCATAATTTTTAATGTATTATTTCGCTTTTCATCACAGATCATCGGACTAGCATGTGAAATAACAAGTGCCTACATCGGTATCGCATATCGTGATAAAGTCTACAGCATTGTAGTAGATACCGACAGCATTAATGCCATCGTAATAGTGACAGCAGTGTTAGGACTTGCTCTTTTTATCATGACAATCTATGGTTGCTATGCATATTCAAAGCGATTCAAGTCTTCTGTGATCTTGGTAAGTAAGTAGGTCTCTATTATTTATTATTATTATTATTATTATTATTATTATTATTATTATTATTATTATTATTTATTTTTTTTTTGCAAGTGAAGAGTTCGCAAGTTGTTCTCGGGAAGAACTCGAACCCATGATCTCTTGATCACTAGCCTTGCATCATACCTTCGAGCTTGTGCCTGATGGCCAGGGCTTAGATTAGAGCTCAAGTAAGCAGCGGATACTGCAATGTGAATAGTAATTGTTATTGTTGTGATAGAATTACTAAATAAATTATACTGAATAGGCCTATATATTCGTATTTTTAAAGCATCGATGGCACGTTCTTTTCTGATTAATTTCAAGATTTCGCTTACTTTTAATTCGATACTAAAACTTTCATTTTTGTGTTCATTTATGTTTAGATTTCATGTCTATTCTGGTAAATAAAAGTCTAGTTTGTCAGGATTTGAACCTGGGACTCTGTAAGTGTAAAGCAGGTATCTTTACCCAAAAAACCACGCTTCTTTTTATCATCATTGTTGTCATTACTAAAAAAATTGTAACTATTTTTTTTATTTTACTTCAGTTTACCAAGATGCATCTGCTTCTGTTTATCATCGTTATTGTCGTAAGCATTGTCATTTTCTTGCTCAGTAGTCAGAAGTCATTGTCAAGCCCGACTAGTATACACCACTTGGACAAATATGGACAGCCTGGGTTCGAGCAGTATACAAGTCAATGGGATGAATTACAAATAGTGGTACGAATCTATTTCATGATTTTTGTTTGCATTTCCCTTCCATTATTATTACAATATACCTATTCTTCATTGAGTACAGTCCATGCGGAACAGACATTGAAATATTACTCTGAAATTTGCAGCACATGCATAAACATATTAATGGCAAACACATAGACAACCCGAATAAATAAATAATAATATTGTTTTTCCGACAGGACATAATAGGAATGTTTTGCATACTGACGTGTTATCGGACTGAATGCTTAGTACTTTCTCAAAATAATTGTGAAAAAAAGCTCGCAAATGGATCGGGTGGGGATCGAACCCACCACCACATACCTAGCCTGGTGTCATAACCAGTAGACCACCGAGCTTCCGCTTAGTGGTTCTACGCTAGTTATCTGGAGGTCGTGGGTTCGATTTCCACCCGAATTAGTATTTAACTAATGTTATATCTAAATAGGTAAAGCAAAATATCATCCTTAATATTATTATTGTTAATTCTTTATCATCATGATCATAATGATCATAATGATCATAATCAAAAATGAAAAAAATAAATAATAAAGAGAAAAATCTAAAAGTTGAATTTTAAAAAAAAGGACACAGGAGTACTTTTACAAAATACATCCTTTACAATGTTACTGCGCGAGAAATTCTGAATTAATGCTACCTCTATTCGTTTTTGTAGGAGAATTGTTGTGGAATTCAGAGCTGTAAAGATTGGAAAATAGTTCCCGACTCGTGCTGTGTTAGTAACGGGAATGGGTGCACCACAAATGTATCAGATCCTACATTTAATAGCAAGGTACAGTTACACTTACGTCATTTGTTCTCTTCATTCTGTTTTTACGTGATCAATACATCCCGCGGTGAATTTTTATTAGACAAGTTTTAAGACTCGCACCATTAATGCCGAAGAAAACATGTATATTTACCACGATTGAACAAATAAAAAGGAAGCCATCATGACCACTCAAGCACTAGACCTATTATTATTGTTCGTACATTCATATGACCCTTAAGCCGGACACTCACTGCGTCGTAAGACGGTCGTACGACCGTCGCACGACAAATCCTCATTTACTTCGAGTCGGGTTGGTGAAATCTGTCCAGAATACGGGCTTTTTCTGTCCAGAATACGGGCTGTATGGGGGCGCTGTTGTCCAGAATACGGGCTTTCTCTGTCCGGGATACGGGCTGTGAAATTTGTCCAGAATACGCCATCATACCGCCCGTATTCTGGACAGAGAAAGCCTCTAAAAATAGAATATGACGTAAGAAAGCCCGTATTCTGGACAACAGCGCCACCATACAGCCCGTATTCTGGACATAGAAAGCCCGTATTCAGGACAACAGCGCCCCCATGCAGCCCAGAGAAAGCCCGTATTCCAGAGCCGTAGATAGATGGCTCTGCCGTATTCTGAACAACAGCGCCCCCATACAGCCCGTATTCTGGACAGTTTTCGCCACACCTACTGTTTGCTTCCGGCGAGCGATAGACGACGCAACGCCGTCTGCTGATTGTCAGTGGTAAAATCTGAACGGATCCTCATTAAAAAGACGATCCGTTGGGTCCGAGTCTTCGCGTGCATTCTCCGTCGCGTTGCCGTCGCGTCGCCGTCGCACGCAGTGAGTAACCGGCTTTACTGAACATTTTCTAAGCCAAACCTCATACCACCTTATTTTGCCAGCTATCATCGAGCATTCTCAACTTAACTTCACACCCCCGACCCCGCCTCCCTGTCAACACATTCCCTACTCCCCTTCTGGTCACTAATGTTTTGTATTTTACAGGGTTGCTTTGATGTTGCACGAGAGTCGCTTTCATCCATCTACTATATCGTTAGTTCCATACTACTATTAGTCGGTATTTTTCTGGTAATATACTTTCTGTTTATTTATTTTTTCATAACATTTGGTAAAGAATGTACCCATAATGATAATGATGTTGGTAATTATGATATAATAGCAGCAGCAGCGGCAGCGGCGGCGGCGTTTCGTAGATGGCGAGAAATGAGCTTTCCTGACTTTTGAGGTGTCTTTTTATGACTTTTAAGTCCTACAAAATTCAAGGTTTTCCTCTTTTGAAAACGATTCCATGAATCAATAAACCACAAAGAGAAAGGTTGGTTTGGGTTCTCCCCAGGAAAATTTTTTTTTCTAAATGGCGGGAAATGAGTTTTCCCGACTTCAGAAGTGTTTTTTTTTTTATTGACTTTTAAGTTCTTCAAATTTCAAGGTTTTCTCCCTTGAAAACGGTCAGGTAAATTATTCTCTATTCTTATTACAGAAAATAGGCCTTATGTGTGTACCGGTATACGTTGCACGTATTCTCTTTTCCATGGATCGATGAACCCCAAAAAGAAAAGGGGGTCGGGGTCCTCCCCTGAGAATATGTTGATTTCTAGGTGGCGGAAAATGAGCTTTCCCGACTTCTAATTTTGTATTCAAGGTCGTTATTCTTTATTCAGATAAAAAAATAAATTAAAAATTACAAACAGACAGCCAAAGACTGTATATGAATGTATTACAATCATTGTTTAAAAATTTTAAAACAGAACACCAAAATTCAAGAAATTCACAACACAAACATAAAAGAAAACAATGGATAAAAAGCATAGCACCAGACATAAAACCAAATTAAAATGATAAAAATGGAATAAATAAAATATATATAAAATTTATATAAAAAATACATTAATAAAAATTGAATTGAATTTTCTTATTGTAAATAAGAAAAAACCGGTCCATCTGTTATATTTTTTCATCTTTTCCCTTTTTTTTTATCTTTTCCTTTTTTAGCCTAAGGGAGGGAGTCAGCACCCCTGATCCCCCAGATCAGCCAGTATGCATTGCAAGAAAATCTAACTCGGTTTGGGACTGGATAAATACTCTTTTCCATCCCTCTCCTTCTTCCCTCTTACTTTTCTTGCATTTCTTTCTGTCTCTTATACACATCTAGATGTGTATAAGAGACAGTCTATATATAGGCCTATGTGTGTGTATTCTATTGTTGTTTTCAGTTATTTTTAAAAATATAATATTATTCCTGAGTTAAATTGTTTTGCACTTATTTTATTTATTTAATATTGTTTTTAATTACTTTTCTATAATTGTATTATTTAATTTTTTTTTCATAACTGTAAGGTATTATATGTAATTTTTAAAGTGATATTTGAAAGACTAACTACAATCACATTTTGAGCATTCTCAGACCTGTATTTTGTTGAATGTTTATATTGTATTTAATCTAGATATAAATAAAATTACAACGAAATAAATCAAAAGATTCGTAGTTTGAAAATTTCGTCAGTCGCGGATGTTTCAAGTACACCTACATCAACAGATCAACCTGGTATCGCAAATAATACAACGTTTTGTTCACAAATAATACGTATATATATCCTATAATCCGTGGGTTAAAAGGATTACGTATATTCGCCAACGACGATGAAATACCATACACTTCTTTACGAGTTTTAATACGTCTATATCAACAGATGGGCGGGGGATAGTTTCTACCATTTTTATCTATTTAAGTAATTGTACAGTATTTGTCCTATCTTATAATCCCGGCCCCGAAACCTTGACTCAGAAATGCCGGGTTGGTGTCCGGCGGAGGATAGTTTTTACCATATTTTAGTTAAGTTGTATTTAAGCTTCTATTTATTTATTTTTTTTTTATTTCAATCGTCCAACAGGAACTCTTCGTTCCCACTTACAGGCGAAAATTGTAATAAACAGCAAAAATATAATCAATACAATAAAATCACAAGATATAAAAAGATAAGTATTATTATTATTATTATTATTATTATTATTATTATTATTATTATTATTATTATTATTATTATTATTTCTATAATTATATAATTATATTTATAATTGCTATATTTACAATAAATATGTAAAATTACTAAAACTTATTTATAATTACAATTAAAATAACGTTTCAATAACACTTTAAAAATTTACAAATTATACTAAAAACATACAGCACTAATGAGAAATATGATTATTAAGGTGATATTTAAACATATTTAAAGAATTAGAAAATATATCAACTTCAGGACATTTTGTAACAAAATCATTATGCAAACTAGATAATCGTGAAATAAAACCATTTTTATAGACATTAACAAAACTGAACAGAAAATAAATCACGTTGACGAAGACGACGACCAGGAACTTTAAATAAGAAATAGGAGATAAGGTTACAATCAAACGAATTCACACATTTAAACAGGAACAAAAGATTAAGGTACATACGTTTAGAAGACGGACAAGTAACATTTAACCTTGAGCCGGCTTAAACTTGAGCCGTTCTGGCCCCGAAACCTTGACTCAGAAGTACCGGGTTGGTGTCCGGCGGGGATAGTTTTCCACCAAATATTGTTTATTTTATTGTACTGTGCTGGTTACTTTTTGTGTTGTTCTTGTTAGGCCTACTATGTGTTTGCAGGACCATATTGTAAAACAGCGGTAAGGTCTCGCCTCTATATGTTATCCTGCCTAAAGATGTTTTAAATAAAAAATAAATAAATAAAAACAGCACAATTGATATTTAAGTTCACTAGCAGGCGTTTAATCCAAATTTTGCAGAGTAGATCTTTATCCAGAATATGTGCACTGAGTTGGGAGGTCGAGAGGATTGTGCAGCGAGAGAGAGCCGAGCCGATTTTATTTGGTTGTGCACATGATGCATCTAAGAAATTGTTTAAAGCCTACCTACGATTAACATTAGTATGTTGAACTAAAAACAGACACTTTTTTCTTTATAGGCATACACTTCTAGCTTTGTGTAAAATATTGAAGATTGTTATTTGGCTCTCTGAAAAAGTGGCCCCGAATTAGAGGGGTCTCAAATTGGAGGTACATTATATCCTACACAATTAAATTAGCCACTGTACCAAAAGTGGATCCAATAATTGCCGGGAAATGGGCTTTCGCATTTCTGAATTTTAAACTATATTTTATACCGTTATACTGTAGAGTAATAGGAATGTTGTTCTAAGTTTGTTTTTGCCAGTGATTAATATCCTATATCAATATAAGTTTGCGTCAGGAAAATATCACAGGAGTGACGTTTTGCCCTGCTTTGATCATACCACATACTCAGTACGTCCCCAAATACCTAAGAAAAAATATTAATACATATTAGCTTTCCCTGTTTTGAGTCGCCCTCAACACCGGGATTAACGACTTTTAAATTGCAACCAGATTCATTGACCTATTCAAATTAATATGCCTATTGCAAATATGATGTGCATATCATGATTATACTTACTAATTAATTATCGTTGAGCATGGCGGTAATACTACTTCTATACCAGGGTTTCAAGTAAGATAATGCGATTCGAATTACTAATGCAATGCTCTAATGTTGCTGCCTTTCAACGTTGTTCTTTTTTGGCCGAGTTCTTTGATGGCCGGTTTTTTAGTTTGTTGGGAGAGATTCCAAATGGCAAACTGTACTTGGCTGGGCTGTGGCGGCTGTGAAACTTGCATGATGAATCTGTCTGTTCATGACGAGTATTAATTTGTTGGAAGGGAATGTCTAAATGGGAAATTGTTCTTTGCTCGCTGGTGGTGTATGCTAATGATTGGTTGTAATTTGTTGGATGGGAAATCTTTTTTTTTAGTTTGTCTTTATTTGTTAAGTGTGTTCTTTGTTGAGTTTGTTCTTTGTTGAGTTTGTACTATGTTGAGTTTGTCCTTTGTTGAGTTTTCTAATTTGACCATAATGGCCGCCCATACATGTGTGGCGTTTTACTTGGTGGTCTCTTATTCCTCGTCTCATGCATAATGTGAACTCATTAGCTGTCACGCTACACTGAGTTCGGTTATGAATATTTATAATTAACAGAAATTTATCGCAATAGCCCCTAACTGCTACACTCTACCGTAGGAAGGCCTACCTTGGCATTGTGCTCTAGTCTCCTTATACTTCGCTTTATGTACCGTGTTTATAGAGAGCCGAGCCCTAGCATGGATCCTCCATTCATCACTGTTCCGCATTGCTGCTGGTTCATTTGTCTCTTCTAATCCAGAATTGTTTTCCAGGTTATGGTTGTTATGATTCTGGTTAGCATTTCTTGGACCGTGTTGTTTTAAATTAACAAAATTGAGGTAGCCTGCATGCCTCGTTGATTTTTTCTTTGTTTTAGGGGTTGAGAAAAAAGTGGGGTGGGTGGTGATGCTAAACAAGTATAATTTTTGAAATTACTACTAAATGAAATTATATTTCTCTGTATTTCCAAACATTTTTTTTTATTTTCAAAAGCAAAAAGTAAACATAGACAAACTCATTTCATGATGCAGTCCACACAGTAGACACAAGCGTAAAATTAAAATGACACACTGTTGGCCAAAAATTTTTATATAAATTGAACCATTAAACCCACATAATAGTTGCAACATAATAGTCATAATGTGGAAGCATTTTCCATCCACATTAAGGCTGGTAAGTAGGCCTGTCAGGAAAAATTTGGTCCGGGGCAAAAATCGGTCCAACGGACTGATTTTGGCCTCATAATTACTTGCCAAATGTAATCCACAAAAGCAAAAATCAGTCCGCTGAAATTTACTTTGCTGCACAGCAGACTTGGAAATATTACGTCCGCAATAGTTTTTGGCGGAAAGAACAATTCCTAAGCTTTTACAGACGCGCATATGCTTATCTAGCCAATCACAATGATGTCCCTAGCTGAAGCCTTAATTTGCATACATCACCCTATATAAGAGTTTAAGATCGGC